CGCCTTGGGCACCACTCCACCTATGTATCCTCTGGATACCTACTTTAACAGGGTGTTGCTACTAGGGGTCTGTTGAACGAGACACTGCGTCCTCTAGGTTTCTTGCCATGCTTCGGACGCAAGCTTCAGATGAAGAAGTGGATGATGTGTTCTCCCGGCGCCTATTTATACTATAGTAGTGATGTCATGGCTGTCGCCGGCCAACGTGTTGTTGGTGTTTTTTCAATGTATGCTTCAGACACGGGTCACGATGAGGCGTGCCCCATAGCGACCCCTAGAGGACACAGTGTCTCGTTCCCTACTCAGGGAACCATGGTTTACATAAGTAACCTGAGACGTTTTCCATGCTATGCTGCAGTTCTCACATACAGACCTCTTGTATTGCTAATTTTCAAAATTGCTAGCCATGTTACAACATGCCCAAATCAGCTTTTCGAGGTTGTAGTTCACGCCTTCATGGGAACACTTCTCTATCTAACATTGATGATATCTACATGTCACAGTCCTTTGAAAGTGTCTCTCTCTTGAAATAGGAAACATTATTGTATAACTTTGATTCAATACAAAGTCAATATAACATCGATTTGCACCAAAAATGCCATTCTCTACCATCCTAGTATAACAGATTTGGCATTTGAATATGAGGATATAAAATTTCTAGTCCAGTCCATTGACCATGTTCACACTAAGAGTTACTAAGCCCTGATAAAATATTGTCCAATTGTGCATATACAGTAGTGCTTTAACTGAAGTGACATTTCAACTGCTTACAATCCTCTGACCCAGAGTTTTCAATCTTAATGGGGGTCCATTAATATACTGCAGGGGGTAACATATTAGAAAAGCTGTATATACATTTCGATAAATATACTGTCAAGAAAAACAACCTCATATATCATTTATTTTACACATCTACTGAGCGTAAAACCATCATTAAACATATGCAAATGTCTTTCTGCCACAAAATACATAATGGTGCAATGAATCCAGGACATTAAAATGATGTAAAGGTAGTTGCTTGAGAAAATAGGTCAATGCTAGTTTAGCATAATTTAATAATGAGGAAGATATTATATTGACCATTTTTATTCATGCTAGGTTGGATGAGAGTGGCTTTTCCAAAGAAAAGTTTGGACTTAAAAATTATAGCCCCAAAACATATAGCTATCAAAATTTGATGGTCAGTTTTGTTTTAATTTATACTATTTTACTGACCATTATATTAATCAAAAGTGTGAGTAAATATACTATTACAAAAGATTTCTATTTAAAATAAATGTTGTTCATTTGAACTTTTTATTCATCATTTAATAAAACTTTTCACAGTTTCCACAAAAATATTAAGCAGCACAACACTGATAATATTAAGAAAGGTTTCTTAAACCAAATCAGCATATTAAAATGATTTCTGAAGGATCATGTGACACTGAAGACTTTGACATAGCAAGAATGAATAACACTTTTAAATATATTTAAATAGAATATATGGTTATTGTGAATTGCAATAATTTTTCACAGTATTACTATTTTACTGTAATTTTGATCAAACTCAAATCAAAATGCAGCCATTGATCATAAGAGATTTTTGAACCTTCTAACAATTCTCTTCATCAGCAGCCAAAAAAGAATCATACTTTATTCATAATCAAACTCCTATTAGATCCAATTAATAGAGCAAAAGAAAAAACAACAACAACAACAATTACCTGCTGTTGTCTTGATTATGTCTGTGGTGTTTCTCAGGCCCATGAAGTCGAACTGGTAAAGTCTCCATGACTTCTGATCAGCCGCCTGCACTGAATTCTTTCTCCACTTGTAAATCATTTCATCTCGTGGGTATCCATCTGTAATTACACGGAGCATAAGCCAGTGACCCCTAGCGCCCCCTTTCACTTATGATGGATGCCTGAGTGCAGCCCAGTGTCAGGCATCGAACTGCAGCATTTGTCTCTAGCCTAGAGCATGCTAATAAAATGCACATCACAGGCACAAGGAAGACAAAGGCATAGAGAGAGAACAAGTAAATGAGAAGTTTGGTTCGATTATACACAGTATCCATCTTGATGCTGACACTCAACCTTGAGATGTATGTCTCTAGCGTACAACCTGTGGCCCAGAAAAGAGATTTGAAACAGCGGTCTCTTGAGCCTTTGGAAGTCTAATCTTAGAAATGATCGCTGATGCTACTCTTGCATTGATTATCCATGTCTCATAAGTACTGCTAAGTGGATGATATTTCATGCTCTTTTTTTTTTAAAATTCTACCTTAAAGGGATAGTTCACCCAGAAATGAAAATGTTGTCATCGTTTACTCACCCTTATGTCGTTGCAAAACTGTATGACTTTCTTTCACAAAAATAGAATTTTTGAAGACTGATTTCACAAAAAGATGCATGAGTCTACTAAAGCCATACAATATTTTTTTCTGAAAGAAACAGACATTTAAATCATTATTCACTGAGAAGCATGATAAGTGCCTCTCCTTGGCGAGTTAATGAGAGAAGAAATGATGCTGGATTAATGAACGAATTGTTCTTATTTTGATTCAGATCACCAAGAATGATAATTTTAGATACTATATTAGCATCCACATTCTGTTTATTATAAGCCTCACTGCAGTTGTCATCTGCCACTTAAAATGCTTGAGCCCTTTGTTTGTTAATGAATCAGCACCATGTTTATTGTAACTGCATGCCAAAGAGTGATTGATTTGAATTTTTCAAAATTAAACAAAATAAGAAATTCACACAGTTTCAGAAAGACATGAAGGTAAGTAAATAAATGACAGAGTTTTCATTTTTATGTTAACTGTCCCTTTAAGCAGCAAGAGTTCTGGTGTTGAAGCCACTTATATTCTACAACGTCCAAGAATGGTCCAAGACTTTCTAATATTTCTTAGAGAGTATTGTTTGATAAGTGAGTGGAAGCACTTCATTCAGACACTGTGATTAATAAAACAGCACAATTAGATTTCCACACAAATATGTATTAATTCCATTGAACACACAATGACCTGTGCTGTTAAATGGTAATCAAGCCTAATAGCCATCTGAGGTAATTGTCATTCTCTTACCAGATTAAAAACACTAAATGAGGAAAAAGATAAAAGATGCTTTTTGAATAATTGAATTTCATAAAAATTTTCCTTGGTCTATGCAGAGGGCATTTAAGTACCAATAAAGATATTCTTGACTACAAACAGTTGACATTTTACACCAGCGAATAATACAATCAGATCAATTTTTTAAAACATATTTTGAGCTTTTTTTACCTGTTTGATATTGCTTAAAAATTTAATGATGGTCATAAAGGGATAGTTTACCCTGTCGTGACTGGGGTCCAACAACATTTTACCCTATTTATTTTCATAGTATGGACCAAAACAACATTGAGAACTGAATTGAATATGCAATAATACACAAAACAAGAAAGTGTGTAATTTTATTTCTACACTGTGCAATACTACTACTGTGTATTTTGGAAGAATACTAGTGTTAATTTAGCCACAGACAGTGTTTCATAAACACCTGTTGGACATCCATTAAATTCACATTCATATTAATTGGCACTAGCAAGAAGGATTAAAGGAAATGAAAAAAGAACTTTATTAATTGGCACAGAAATAAGTTGAAAAATCCTCGTCCTCACCCTGGATAAATCCCGTTGTGCCATCCCTGTGAACTGTGAGAAATAATTAGTAGTGTATTGTATAAAGTTTACAACAACTTGGCTCAATCAGCCATAAAGAGGTTGCAAAGGATCAGCAAAATGGTTTCAATTAAAATTCTGTGTACACAATAGTAAAATAGATGCACCCTCCATAGATGTATTTTAGGGGTACCAGGAGACCAGAGCTGAAATTGTGTTATCATTGATTGAGTGTCTGAACATATCAAATAGAATGGTTTCATAATCTTATATTTGGTATTATTGTTTGGTAGAATGGCAAACAATAGCTATAATTAAACTAAAATCTGCTGACTGAAACACATTTAGTGGTATACATGTCCAAATGAATACTCACCAAGCGCCAAATTCAAAATAAAAATTGGCTTTGGCAAGTAAATCAATTTAATTAATATTAATTTGGATGGACTTCACGAGAAACTAACTGCTAAATAAAATAATGGTTTAAATTGCAAGAACAATAGTGTGACCCTGATGTAAATCACTTGAGTGAACCAAATTAAAGACATGCAATACTTTGCAAAAGTTAAAATCTGCTTTGGGGTGCCAGTATAGGAAATATCAATTTTTATCAAATCGATTATATGCACATATATATACAGTATATACATGGCCTCTGTCAAACTCTAAATGCCTTGCTAGTGAAACAACTTGCCTTTCAATCATATTGTTGAACTTCTTGTTCCTCAGACATTATTAAAATAACCTGCTGTGTCTGGCTTGATGCCACACTTCTGTTCTCCTTACATCATATTCAGTTCATTGGGTGGAAGTGGAGATCTCTTTATATTTCTTTTGATAATTACCCATGGGCAGTGTCAAAGATACACTCCTGCTCCATTTCATCCCAACAGTTGCCCTGCCACCCTCTGTCTCCGTCTCTCCCATTTGCATTGTCCTTGGTTCATTATTGTATAACCCTTAGGTCATGTTGGGCTAAAGGGTACAAGCAAATTCCACTTAATCAGAGGAAAAAATAGCCATCGCCATGGGAACCAGAACCATCCATTGGCCTCAGTGGGTGAAGAAAGGGGCGCTGATGAATCACAGCATGCAAGAGCTTCCCGTGATGGTGGAAAGATTGGCAGCGGGAGGAAGACTATGTGATTTAAACCTAATAGGGTGTGTGGAGAAAGCCTTGGTAGCACAACAAATAACTTTGTAATTTCATCATTCATCAACAAAGGAGGTTACTATTGATTTGTGAAGGACTAAATGCGAGCCATACATTTCAGTTTATACATCCTGCCTCTGTCCGCCACATCGGATGAGAATGCCATGGTTAGGTGGGCAAAAAAGATTTATGGCTCTTCTTATGACCCGCAGAAATACAATCAAATAAAAAAGAATAAACAGATTGATCCATGTTTAAAATTCAATGATTTGACAAACACACACACACACACACACACACAC